ATTGCGCAAGGTATATTTCTCCTTCATAAAAAATTGGCCATGGCTACAAATCCACATTGTCACTGACTTTCTATAGTACCTCTAGTGCGATCGACACAGAAGCTTATGCGCGCATCACATCCTAGACATTTACTTTCTATATACGTTCTGGCACAGCTAGACGACGTTTGCATTTCTTCCTTGCATGCCTGTTGGCCTTCTTCTGCAATCTTTGCAATGAATAACACCAACAGTTACACTGACCCTTCGACCGCCTGTCTGGGCCTTGAATTCGTTTGATATGCCTAGCGAATAGCTTTTCGTAACAGACTGTTTGCACAGTGCTTACGTTTTTTATTGGCCTATGGTTACAAGTTAAAACAGAGATATGCATAAGCCTACAAGTAGCAGCCTACAAGTAGCAGCCTACAAGTAGCAGCCTACAAGTAGCAGCCTACAAGTAGCAGCCTACAAGTAGCAGCCTACAAGTAGAAGCCTACAAGTAGAAGCCTACAAGTAGAAGCGGGTTGATTACAGGGGACTTTACTTTTTGGAATGTTAGTTAAAAAAACGGATAGGGTTTACTTTCTATTTCCGACACATACCAAAGACGTATGCTACATAATTTTAACCAACTAGTGAGAGAGACATTAGCAATACATACAAAAAAAACATTCAAAACATAGAAAGAAACATGCATAGAATTGACTTGATTAATGTCGCTTTGGCTTTAGTGCCAAAAAGTAAAATGTCAGATTTAACTTGCGAGTCCACAACCACCCCGAAAAAAACAACACGCCATTATGATTCACTAGCAAAAACCATCCAGTTGTCATCAAGGCATTAAGTGCATATTACATTTTAACAATAGAAATGGCTTACAATCACTTTGCCACAGTGACATTAATTATGAGCAAGTAAACGCCTTACCGATTCATAATCACATTACTCAATATATTTAAATTGTAACAATGTCAATATTTTTGGGACAATGCCCCTGTGAGTGTATACGTCATCTCTGTCTTTTACTGGTGAGCTAGGATGCGGACACACACCAAACGCAAACGTTCGTGAACAATACACCCATAGACAATTGAATGCTTATGGAGTGATTCGTTTTTTCCTCCAAAGGTTCCCCCACTAGATTACATCAATCAGATAGAAGACAATATAAATAGAAGACGATTTCCCATTCTGTTCGTTCTATTTCTATATATGAAATCCTACCAAGAGGCAAAATCTAGCTAGATTATAATTAAAATACCAGCTCCGTTTCGCTTAAAATAAAAGCAAGACATGTTTACGAACAACATTGCTAAAGGGCATTTGAAAGACATACATTTCAAAAAAATAAAAAAACACAGACCTGAGGTTACTACAAGAAATATTCATGTAGGGAAACTACATCATAGCAGCAGCTACGTCAGTAAGACCGCTTACCAACAGAATTATTTTCTCCCCTACTTCTTAGGCTGGTCTGCCCCGACAACAAGTAAGCCCATTTCTGAAACATTATAATTAATTGGATATTATTAATTCAGCATGACTTTTAGGCCAGGACAAGCCCAACTGGTTTCCAGATAAAAGGCCATTTGGGTTGTTGCATTTAATTTAGTGTGCCAAGTCACCATAGAACAGAACCAATCAAGCCATGTTTCGTCCAATTTTTCAAATGCCAAGTAACTGGAATATGAACGACAAAATCATTTAAACTACAAAAAACACAGAAATAATAAAAGAAACGGGTGCATCCATATATCTCATGATGTCATATTTGTCACATGAGATCAGCCTGGTGACAATTACTTTGGATTCAGGCTAACTTAGCCTCCCCCGAGGTTTTTATTTAGCTACTGTTAATAATGTCTCTAAACAGTTATAAAACAATCTTTAAAGGATTCTAATTTTTTATTTATAATAAATATACAACAAAAAATCTTATGAATACCTGTTCAAATGCTGTGTATTTCCAGTATTTAATTCGTAAGCTTTTAGATAATTTGATCTTAGTTGAATCACTTAAATGACCAAAATATGCACACACACACGCACTGCTGAGCCAAAACATTATGACCACACAGGTGAAGAGAATACTGTTGAACATCTCCTAACAATGGCACACCTCCAGGTCTGGGTAGATGAGATGGTAAGCAGACCAGATGCATCCTGTCATTATTCCCTGATGGCAGCGGTCTCTATCAGCAGGATAATGCACCCAGCCACACATTGTTATGTAATGGTTTGGAGGAACAGACGGCAAGAGTTTATGGTGTTGTCCGGTCCTCCATATTCCCCAAATCTCAACCTGTGTGATGTGCTGGAGTAGCAACTCCAATCAATGGCGTGTCCAGCTCAGAATTTATAGGACTTGAAGAATTTGCTGCGAATGTCTTGGAGGCAGTTACCACAGGACACCTTCAGGGATCTGCTGCTAATGTCTTAGAGCCAGTAACCACAGGACACCTTCAGGGGTATTGAAAAGTCCAAGCCTTGGCGAGTAGGTGCTTTTTTTAGGGGCACGCAGAGAACCAACAGCATTTTAGACAAAACGTTTTGGCTCATCAGTGTGAGACCACACATGCGCAGAGTGAATACATAGTGTTTAGTGTTTTAGGTCTCCTGTAAATGAACGATAATATCATTAGGAATATGTGTGGCTCTACTACAGTATAATGTTATGTCTGGTTGACTAGTGCTTGTAATGTGTCCTGCTAGTTAGAATGGTACAATAACTACTCTGACCTGCAGAGTCAATCCGATTGGTTGTTTGGGGATAGAAGGCTGCCTTTTCCTCGACCTAATCTCCACCCACCATGGGATATATTCAGCCAATCAACAACGTCAGGACATAGGTACATCATAGAGTCAAAACAATAACACAAAAACAAACGTTATTTGCATCGAAGTTCTAGCTTCACAGAATTTAATAAGATAACTATAACATTCGGATTTGAGCTACGGGTAAAGGTGTAATTCTACTGCAGCGACGGATCAGACGGTAGCTGAACGTTCGGAGTAAAAGTCCAATACTCCAAAACAAATAGGAGGGGTAAGTAAAGAAATTAGCATTTCCTTAAAATTTTGGTTAAATCGAAATATAAACACACACGCCCACTCTGTTGTCTAGTTTGGGACATGAAGGGCCACCAACATGCATTGGGATCAAGCATCTGAGTACCCTGCATACAAAGCAGAAATTACAATCATCCTTGATACGGTCATGCTCTTCACACAAAAAGCAAACCAACAACAACAATACAAAATAAAACACGGTACATAAACTCATTTCAAAGAACTGATTGCTTTCGGCCGAGTTTCGGGATTGGTGACAACCAACCACGGTCACAGATGGAGACACTACTAACACAGAACGACTTGTGTTACAGTCTGAATAATAATAATAAGAATAGCAGAGAAACGAAGGAGGAAACCTTTTAGCTAAAGCGCGGTACGCTACAGCCCCTAACCCCACTCCTGACCAACAGCTGCCTCACTTGACCCCACCGACTCCGGGTATCGTTTTCACAAATGACAGAAAATGAGTTTAGAACCGACGTCGGTTGTCGGTTGGTCATCGTAAGGTCTGATATTATGGCAGCTAGTAAGAGGTCCATGCAAACGAATAACACGTCACGTCCACAGCACAGCACAGGCCTGAGAGTTTACCTCAGAGTTTTAACACGTATGTAGCAGTGTTCACGGTCTCTTAAAAATCACAACAAAACCCCGCTAGATGGATTATAACTACATGAGAATATCAAGATGGGTTCCAGACTTGGGACACACACACAGATATACGCACCACTATCTGATAACACACACCACTCTACTGTTCCCCCTGTCTACCTGCTCCCCATTTTGTTATGCAAGCATGAAACTTAATTTCACAATATTTGTTGTTTCCATTTCAACTACAAATAAGAAAAACCATAAAAAGTCTTTCTGTTTAGCGGAGTGTTTCTCAAACTGGTGTAGCAAACACAGCCTCTATCTTGACGAAAAATACTGTCGCTCTGATATGACTCTAAATACGCCATTGGCAATCAATCGTTCCTCAATTTAACGTCATTACTTTGAGTGACGACTGCAAGGAAATAAAAGCTGTACTTTATTCTGATCTACAAACTTGCTGGTTAGATCTGTGAAAAATGACAATATATATATAATAGCCTTTTCTATGTGACGCATGGCTGACGCATGGCTAGCAGCTCGTCTGGCAGTTGAGGACACTACATGTTTCTTTGATTCATAGATTTTTAATGTAATGTCCAAGCAATTTCCTGATTGTAGCACCACTCTTACAAACATGCTCTGATTGGTATCCTGCAGTCCAGTTGTACACTATGCAGTCTCTATGCTGTGAGTGGCACATCCTGGCCATATCGATTTAAACTTAACGGAAAGTTAAACCGCACTAACCCCCGCCCTGGAAGTATAAAGACCATGATCTTATCAGAACTAAACGACGGAAAGCTTTTGCCGAGCTCCCCTCCGTTTTACTGTCATTATTTTACCTCGGTTTGTCGTCTTTCCTTTCAACGTCCGCTCGGTAGCTTTTCCGGAGAGCTTGAATGAGAATATGCAAATAAAGAGACGAAACAAAAATGGCTACACTGACAAGTCTTTTCATTTCCGATTGAGATGTTGAAATGAATAAATATTTTTTCTTCCCTTGATAAATTTGGCTTGCCGGTCCCTCCGTTCCCCATCGCCTGTTGCATGGGGGCATCGAGTGTGCCTCGGCTGACTAACAGCTCCCTCCCACCCCGCCCGTCCAGAAGGTTAAGGAGGGGTCCCGGTCAGTACCCCCCCCCCCTCCCCAGCTGGCAGAGCCTACCCCCAGTAAAGGGTAACATGTTCCCTGGGTATACGAGGTTCCCCGTTCATCGTCTCCCATAGTGAATGACCTGGAAAGAAAAAAGATTTGTGTTAGTCAACAGGAACCATTATTTTTTGTATTTAACCTTTATTTAACCAGGTAGGCCGATTGAGAATAATTCCTGATTTGCAACGGCGATTTGGGGAGCAGCTGGGATTTGAACCGGACGTCATACACACAAAGCATGCACTCAACCACTGAGCTACCAACTGCTCCAAACCTGAGTAAACCAGTGACATTGTTACATTTAATTTATTTCATGATCACAGTCATAAAACATCTAAGATTACTGCCTAGTGCATTTCGGCCAACTGGAGCTGAAAGTCATACAGTCGATCTGTGAGATGAAACCATTCAAACTAAACATGCAGCTCCACATCTGAATAAATAAAATGAAAACATTTTGACGTTCGAACAGTCAATGCTCAGATTGAGACCCAGATGAAATGTGTCGACAGGATTTTATTCTATCTTTGTTTCACATTTGTCAATTAATGTAATGGCCTTGGATCTGCTATCGTCGTTCTCTAATTACATGTTGACACATGAATTCAGGACGTACCCCCTAGAACAGGCCCGTTCCTATGGTGAGTTCTACACCCCGTAGAAGGCCGATAGCCGTTCCTTCAGAGGCAGGGGGAACTGGTCAGAAAAACGCCTCCAGTTCTCCTCCCCCACCTGGTTCTTGAATCCATGGAGGATCTAAAAAAACACCACACGATTACAATCCGTACCAGACACACGCGTGTAACGTGAAACCCAACCATGACCCAGAAATGTACCATTGTAAACTCCCTATAAACCCAACCCATGGCATTTTCCCTAGTACAAACCAGACAAATAACATTTGGGTTCTCCCTGTAGACACCTGTTCGCTACGCAGCCATGAGAGGTTTTTACCTTGCCAAACATGTCTCGCAGATCGTCCTTTGGATTTACCCATGACGCCACTGCATCACAGAAAAATATAAAATCCTAGGGAGAATGAGAGAATGAGAGACCCATCACCCCAGTGAGTCAGTAAAGCAGTACCCGTCTTCAACTTCCACATTTCTTGTGACTAATGTGGCCACGAGTGGCCTGTTGTCTGACAGGGAGCCTCTTTCCCTCCGGTCTCACCTGCACTACTCCTCCCGGGTTGACACTGATCATAGTGCAAATGCCGCGGAACGCAGAGTCTTTCTCCTCATTGTCTCTTATGTTCCGGAGAGACGTGCACCTGCCAACAGGAACAGCCACGCTTTACAACCTCCCTGTGCTCCATATAGCCACCAAATTCAGTCACTGGCGTTGGCATTTATGCAGTATTACCAGTACAGTCACTAATACATGCTAGTAGTTAAAAAACTAATTCTACAGTTTATCATCATTCAACATTTCGACAAAATACTTTTTAAAGTTCTAATGCATCTTTGGCCCACATGGCATTTAGGTACATTTTTATTATTGCTCTTAATCAATGTCAATGACTTATAAAAAAATATATTAACTTGTTTCTTAATTTTCTTTTAGACATTCTGGGATAGGGCACATGCAGCTGATGAACTAGTGGTCGGAGAAGGGGGATTTGCAATGCTTTCGGAAAATTTTGGGGAAGCTTTGGGAATTTTAGGGAAGCCTTTTGTTTTCCCTTTCTTTCTGAACCAGCAGGCAATGTGACAATCTAATCCCATGCACTAATTAGTAGTTAGCAACAATTAACAACGACAAAAACTGTAAAATAAATAAATCAATTATGTATAAAATACATGAAGGTGCCACTGAGGCAAAAGTAAATCACAGACTAAGAGGACCTAAGAGGACAGGATTAGTCACATGGTTGGCAATGATTACAGACTGATTCAGGAGAAACAGAAAAGACTCATTTTAGAAAGAGAAAAAGAAAGTGAGAGTGAGAGAGACAGGGGGAAGTAAGGAAAGAAATTGAAGAGGTGAGAGAGCGACAGGACAGGGAGACAGACGCGGAGAAAGAGAGCAAGATGAATTAAATAAAAGATTGAATAATACACACCAGGGTCTTATAAACTGCTGTAGCACGGGTGACACCTCTTGAGGACAAACGTAACCAAGACGACCAATTGTTATTGCTAAGGTAACGCAATCACGGTTAAACACCACCAAACGCCAACCAAGACATGAGCAATGAGGGGGGGGAGAAAAATAAAGAAAACACAAACAAACAACTCAGAAACATAAAAATCAACAGAATCCGTGTATGATAATAAACAGAAGAATTCACTAAACACTAGTGCTGATTATTACTGCCTCGTTGACCACTGGGGAGAAATGTACGATTGTATGACACTCTAAAAACAGACAAACCCGTTTAAGGGAGAACACTTTGACAACACAATATCAAGAAAATGGCAACATGCCTGCTTGGACGTCAGAAATGCGTCAGAAACATGGAGAAATAACATTCCCTCCCCTTTCTCTTAGTGGGTTGACGATTTAACCTTTTACCCATTACTCTAAGTGCCGGTTGGTAATGTACAGGTAATTGTTCCCTTCAACATTGGCTGCTAAGAATCGGGCTTTCAGAGGTTTCTCCCTTAAACTCACAAAATGGTTAATCTCTCCATAACAGAACAGAAAAACGTTTCTTTTTTCTTTTGGTTCGTAAAGACATTTTACTCCGAGCCAACTACATGGAAAGAGACTAGTATCCAGCACAGCAGGTTCTTATGAGGAGTCAGAGAGGAGGGAGGAGAACCTAAGTTTAAGAGACACAAAACTATGCAACATTCTCATTAAAAAAAACAGGCATTTATGAACAGTCCAATGAGACATGCAGAAAGCAGATGATTGGCTCATTAGAAATACAGTTCAGTGCAGGATCAGCTGATTTGCTGGAAATGAGGACGAGGGGCGGGGTTATAGCCATAAATGACCTCAAACCCTATCCTCTGCCATCATTTATAGGTAGGGATGAGTGTGTCTTTGTTTTCGTGAATGATCAAATTGTTAAAATAGACGTACAAAAGCATCAATTAATGTATTAGTTCATCTTAAGTGAAAATTGAGATTCAAATTGTATCCTGCATCGAACATTTGCCATCCTGAAACTAAACAAACATTCAACATCTATTGGCAGATATGCATTCACATTTAAAAAACAGTAACTAAAAAAAAAACAAAGAAATAAACTGACAAACAAACAGGAACAACATCTACAAATTCCCTAATTTCCCTGTGGTGTTAGTTAAGCAGGTTACACTTCACCCTCATTTTGGCCCACTTTGGATTCTAGTTTCATGCCCGGCTGCCATTTTAGATTTCCCAAACTCAAACGATTTTTCTAGAGCTTTGAAATAAGAGCAGAGTGTAACCAAAGGTGTGTTTGCTAAGTATAGGTGCTATAACATTTCAACACCACACATTTCTAGGGCGGGATTAGCTCTTCTCTCCATCAGCATAGACTAGTTAGAATTCCAGTTATTATGTCCGCCTTAAAGATATTTAAGTTAAGGCCTCACTGTCAACTGACGCTGCTCATTTCACTTCAATGGAAAGCTAGAACAACCCGATTACCAACAGTGCAACAGAATCAATTCATGTCAGTTAATAAATGGTAAGGCTGTACACTTACAGGAGTCGCTCATCTCCCCGCTCGATTCTTAATGTACTTTGTCAGTGAATATTTCCTCTTTCCACCACAGCCACTAAACATTATTTCAGTTGAAATCCGCTCATACACACCGAGTCACGGATCTGTGGGTCTGATTGGTTCAGCTTTTAGGGTGAAACTCTGCGAAACCTGTAAGGCCCAGTGCTTGAGGAGCTTTCACATGGAGTTCCAGTCAGAGGGTGTGTCCCAAAAAATCTCTCTTACTTCCTGAAGTGGACACTCGGTCACTACTCCCCACACATTTACATGTGTTGCCATGGGCAACCGGGAGGTTTCCTATACCAGTTGTTACTGTTGAAATCCATGAAGGGAAGTGAACAGGTGACCACTTGGGTAAATAAGAAGAGACAACGGAGTGAGGCTGACTGACTGACTGTATGCGCTGTATTCCACCTTCCTGTGCTGTGGCTGGCAGGCACAGGATAGCCTGCAGCGCCACCTAGTGGTACCTGTGTTCTCCAGCAGGGTCTTTGGAGTGTTGGGCCTGTTGATGATCTCAACCAGCTGGTGCAGCACCATGGCAACATAAGGCTGCATCTCAGTCCCTGGGGAGATGAAGGACAGGTAGCTCAGGGAGGGAGGCGCAAGGGGGAGGCGCAAGCCATGGGGAGAGGGAGGGGCATTGGGACAGTTTGCTGACACTCACCCATTTGTATAGAAATCTCCCCGATTGCCCACGTTGCATTGTTGCACACCGATATCAGCTCTGGGTTCAGATTAGTCCCTAGAATAGGTATGAAATCGGCTGCACAGGAGAGAAACACAGGCAGGCGGTCAGTGACGACTAAAACAGATGACACTTGTTCGATACCCACACATGATCTAGGCATGACGATGCGGACATGGAAATGCACGGTATGGAATGATGGATCAGACCAGACACCTGAGTCACACGTTGGAGAACGTGGAGCCCCATATGGCACGTTGGAGAACGTGGAGCCCCATATGGCACGTTGGAGAACGTGGAGCCCCATATGGCACGTTGGAGAACGTGGAGCCCCATATGGCACGTTGGAGAACGTGGAGCCCCATATGGCACGTTGGAGAACGTGGAGCCCCATATGGCACGTTGGAGAATTTGGAGCCCCATATGGCACGTTGGAGAACGTGGAGCCCCATATGGCACGTTGGAGAACGTGGAGCCCCATATGGCACGTTGGAGAACGTGGAGCCCCATATGGCACGTTGGAGAACGTGGAGCCCCATATGGCAAGTTCCACATTCTTCAATGTACTGCAGGTACTGTGTCTCCAATAGGACATACCAAAAAAAAGCCAACCCAACATTTCTTTATGGGGCATCGAACACTGAGCTATGGTCACATGACGGTCACATGACTATACTGTTGTATGAGAACAGACCACGTACCGATGCATGGCTTCACATGCTGGAAACAAGCTTTAGTTAGGTCACCCAGCAGAGCAAATGAGCTCTGACGCACCTCCGGCATTTTGTCCTGAGTGGGAAAGACATGGAGATGTCAGGAGTCACGAACGTCAGGGACTGTTGATGTTTCGTTAGGTCAGCGACGTCACACGGTCGGTTACCTGCATGCACTGGTACATGAGTGTGAGGATGTTGCTACGGG